TAATAATAATAATGTATTTTTTTATTTAAAAATAAGTACTGTTTAATTGCTTAATAATTTAAGTATTTTTAATAAAAGCCTGCAGTTATTATAATTCCCAATTATTAATAATAATTATCAACTACTCACATGCAGGTATCCACACTGCTGGATAAATACTCAGTATATTAGTGCATCACTAAAACACATTTGTATGGTTTTTTTTTGGTTTTTTTGTTACAAAAAAGGAAACTTTCATATATTGTTTTGGAAGATTTGGCAGAGATGACTTATTTAAATGTGTGCAGTTTATGTCTTTTGCTTATTGTTTGCATTGATTGATGCATCTTGTCAGTTGTGCGTAACTGTGGTCTGTCATTGTCCCGGCTTTGTGACCCAGTAGTTTGTGCTTGCCTTGAATTGTTGTTTAATATTATGTCTTTTCTCCTTATATTTCTGAGTTCTCTGTCCCTTAATTTTGTTTAATTTAGTTCCATTTCATGTTTAGTCTGTCTTAGTCTTCCCTCTGTGTTCCACGTCCTCTAGTATCTAGTTTCTTGTGTTAGTTATTTGTGTCTCCCTGGGAAGTCTGTTTTGCCTCCATGTTCATTTGCCTGTTTTCCCAGTCGTGTGTCTATCTGGTTCCTGTGTTCTCTGCTATCTCGCCCTCGTTCTGTGTCTTCCTTGTCTGGTCTCTGTCTGTTTTATTTTGATAGTCATTGTGTCACGTGCCTTATGTTCAGCTTTGCTTCCTCTCTCTCATTATGTCTAGTTTGTTCCAGCTGCGTTTCCACCTGTCACCCATCCTCTCATTATCTTGTGTATTATCATCCCCTCCTTGTGTGTACGCGTCCTGTTTACTTAGTCATGTAAGTCCTAAAGTTCAGTTTAGACGAGTTTTCTGTTGTTTGTGTTTAGTTTCCCGAACTCCAGCAATAAAGCTGTATGAGTTCTGAATTTATCTCTGAGTCTGCAATTTGGGTCCGCTAACTGCCAGCCACACACACACACACACACACACACACACACACACACA